CTTTGGCTTCTGAGTGTTTTGGGTTTGATATTTATTTATTTATTTGTCACATAGTCTGTAGGTAACATTCATCTTTTCTAAATATCAACTTTGTCTAAGATATGTTTTTCAATTGAAGCATAAAAGGCTGTAACTGACATGTTACAGGTTTAAAGTCTAAGTGGTGGGATGCTGCTGTCATATATGAACAGCTTGAATTAAACTTTGAATCACCTGTTTGTTCTTTTCCATGCGGTGCAGGGTGACAGCAGAAACAGCGCCTGCATGTGTCACACTTTGTGTTTCAAGTCCTGCCCGGGGCTTTTCTTCACACCAGCTGTCAGCTTTTCAGCCCTCCTCATTTTCTTCAGTGAATCTAAATGACACCTCAGAGGCTGAACTTTGTATTTGGCTCTGTAATTTCTTCACACTTTGAGTCTCACCATCCCGTAAGGTTGCCTTGTCAGGTGCTGCTGTCCGTCATGGTGTACGGCTGTGTTAACGAAGAGACAGAGAAAACGCCAGCCTTGGTACGCTCACTGTCACCTGTACTCCATGTTATAATTATCCAGAGGCAAATGATGGTCTGTCCCTCACCCTGATCTCACATCCTCTCCCACTTCAAACTAATCATATGAAATCCCTTTCAACATCTTCTTTTTGAAGCTCACCAAACACCTGAATCCTCAATGTCAAATTGTCCTCACATTTACGAAGCTCCATGCTGAAGACGTCTGGAAAGTGGAACTGTAGTTCAGATTAAGAATAAGTTGCATTATTGTAATTTTCATTAATCGACAGGGCACGTGTACCTCTTGATGTGCTGTAGAAAGTTTACCTGAACCGCTTGCGTGTGCCTGGTCCACACGGAAAGATTTTAAAATTGTTAAATTATTTTCAAACCTGAGTGACCACACGCAATGATAGGAAAAAAATAATAATAATCAGCATAAAATGTGTGCTATGGAGCCACACTGAAGGTTCATACACACAAACTGATTTTACTCACCAACATTCAGATTTCAGAATGAAGAACCTTTCCATTCATTGATCTATCCATCCATTCATTGATCTATCTGTCATCAATTTATCCTGTCAGTTTGCCCATTAATTCATTCATCATCCATATTCAGACAGTTCATCTGTCTGTCTGTCCATCCATCCATTCATTGGTTTATTTGTCCATCAGTCAATAAGCAAGCCTCTCTAATAGTCAATCTATTGATTTTTGTCTCTCCATTCATCTCTATAAATCATATTGAATCAATGTGATGATAACATCTCTGGGGGAGTTTCTGAATATCTACCAGACACTGGCAGAAAGAGACTTTCGCCCTTTAGAGGAGATTGAGTCTGCAGAGCATCATGTTTTAGATTATTATCAAAGCAGTGACTGAAGGCAGCTTGAAAATAGTTTATCTGCCTGCAGAAAGAAAGTTAGCGTGAAAAATAATAGCATAGTTTATCTAAAATTAAACGCATCTTCTTGCTACATCACAGCTAAGCTAACCATTAGCTTAATGTGGTCCCTGGAGGAAAGGAGCTCTTTCTGTTGAACTTTGAACTCTGAGCACCGTAGTGGGAGTAAAGCTGTGGTTGAACCTAGATTCCTCTACTCAACTATGAATTTACTAAATATTTCCCCAGTGAGTTGGTTCTTTGCTGTAATTTGCTTTGGAAAAAAGTATAGCTGGAGAAATATGAGGGAATGATTTTTTTAAACTCAAATAAAAATAAGAATTTAACTCTGATTTGAACAGCATCCTTAAAGCATCCATAACATCCCAGAGTTTAGATATGAGTGAGGCATTCAGAGACCTTCTGGCAAACATGACGTTTCACTGCAGTGTTTGAGCATCTTCAGCCTGGTTATTTCAGAGAGTGGCATCCAGCTCATAGCTTTAGGTGCAAAACAAAGCAAACATGGCAGAAGGTAATTTGATTTCACTCGGAGATGGAAATAAATAGTCATATTTATTTATGACGGCATCTGAGACAGAAGGTCACCGGCGTTCGGAGTGACTCTTAAACCCTGTCGCCAGTCTGGTCTCACTCTGTAATTGGCTGTTTTCACACGCACAAAAAACCGGGCTTGGAAAGATCCGGATGCTCTCGTTGAAAGACGCTGGATGGGGGATTTACCTGCCTTAGGTATGATTTGCACAACAAGATAATAAAAACAAGTTTCAAGTATAATACTGTGAGAGAGACACCTGGAGTAACAGGAGGGACAAAGATATTTGCTAAAGCTGTAGGATGGCAGTAAAAAGTGTCTGGAATGCAACATAATAGCCTAAAAGGAATGTTCTCTCATCCTTACACAGACATGGATTTATTTGTTATATCGCAAAGGTTGGAATAATAAAATAAGATATATTCAACATGAAAAAGTGAAACTAATCAGACATTGCAACAATGCAAACTATCCAAGTGATTTTGAACTAGTTTGTAGAGAAAATATTTCTTTACACTTGAAATAAGTCAAAACTTTTCACATGTAACTTTTCAGCCACATATATAAGCTTATTTTAAGCCATTAATTCCTTAATATTGATGAAAAAGTACAAGTTTCTCTGTTATGAGTTTGCCTCATAACATGGAAAATATGATTCTTTTTTATTCTTTTGATTAAAAAGGTTTGCCGCTGTCATGAGGTGGCAGGATCGAAACCGGCTTCTCTCACAAAACTCCAATGGAAAGACTTTATTTACATAATACAAGTCAAGTCATCAACAAGTGGATGTTGCCACTGGCATAAACCATGAAGAAGAAAACAGGAAGTAGTTGGAGGATGATGGTGCGGCATGTTTTTAGGGGCTTACTGTGTGAAACAAACTTCATGTGTGATTTTAATTGCGTTTCTTAGCAACGCAATTGCAAAGTTGTGTTTTTTCAACATTAGCGGAATATTGACAAAATGATGTGCACATTTGTAATGGAAACTGACCAATGAATTGATAAGCATACAATAATCATGTCCTGGTTCTTTGGTTGTCCACAGTATTGTGTCTGTGTTTTCTTTTTTATATATAATTGGTTCAAACTCCAACTCAATTTTTTTTTTCAGACTCCAGCCTAAACTATCAAAAAAACTAAAACTGTGGAAGAGCATGACTTTCCTTGTTCAACAATCTCTTTATCTTCAAGTAGATCTGTGTACATGTTCATTATTTTACAACCTTGTGGTTTTCCTCCTCTCTTTACAGAAGCCTTATTAGAGGGGCTTCCCTTTTATTTATTGGTTAATGCATCATCAAGTGGAGCTCCAGCAGTAGGTCAGGGATGCGGCGCGCCTCCTCCTTCCTCTGCAAAGCGCCTCCCTTTCCTTCAGCTCCGTGGCCTTCGTCCCAGCTGCCCGCTTAAGATGCAGGACTTGTCTCATCTGCTGGACAATCACTCCTATTCTTTTAATTTAAAAAAAAAAAAAAAATTTCAGGCTGCCACTGGCTACATTTATGTCTCTGATTTATGTTGGAGTTAAAGGAAAGAAAACATCTGAATTATTATTTTTAGGAAGGAGGGTAGAGGTTTTTTAAAATGATTTTTAACTTCTTTTAAATGACACAGCACCTTGTTGGGGTTTTTTTTGCCATCAAAGGCTCTCTGCTGTGAAACTACTTGATGTAACATCAAAGAACAAAGTATTCCCCTAACCTACCAGAATCGGTTTCGCCACAAACAAGCCGGCAGAGAGAATGGGATCAGTGTGGCTGTGAAGCGAGGAGGCAGGAAGAACGGGGAGGAAAGAAAGTGGAGCTTTGTAGGAGAAGCTTTCTGAGGCTTTTTCCTCCCTCGCTGTCAGGCCACAGAACATTAAAGTGGGGGAGAGGAATTTGCATTCTTTAAATCGTTCTTTCTTCTCCTTCATAACTCACATGCTGACGATCTGGCAGTAAACTTCCACATGCAGTCTGCGAACCATTGGGAGCAAAGAAATCGTTCCTCACCAGAAGAACAACCAAAACCACACTGGTTTAATGCCAAAAAAAAGAGAGAGAAAAAATAATTAAAGGAGATATTGTCTATTTTGTTTGCAGATTTGAGGCCCGCCTACAGGAATTTATTGGCAACTACCATACAGTCTGAAAAATTTTAAATTAATCTTACATTTCAGCAACAAGCCACTTCTACCACTGTGAATATACCGTGAAGTCCACCCAAATCTGCTTTTAACTGATATTATAAAACTTGACTAAGTACAGGAAAATTTGAAAGTACTTGACATTAAGCACTTGATCCAAAAAGTGTGTCAAGCGCTTGGGCACTTTTTTTCCAGTCTGATTATTTGGTGTCTGGAAAACAAAACCTTCTGACTGTTGATTGACAGTCAGTCACTGCACCATTACATAGAAACAGGTGGCTGCTGGAAAAGACAAGTGTTGTTGACTTACCATCCAGAAACCACCTGCTCCATTTATGTTGGTTGTGCAGGAGGCTTTAATCATGTTTTTCGAAGTTGCCAGGTTGTACAATTGTACATTCGTTTGCAACCATTTTTACATGTAAGTTTACATGCTGAGTCGGGGGGCGTGGCCAGCAGCAGCTTATTTGGATTTGACGTGACCATACTCCCTAAATTGGCTCAGGCAGAACAGCGCAACTATAGCCTCATTATCTAAGAATGATTTTGAGGAACAGCGTAATAAGTTTTTTTTTTTTTTTCTTCATGTCCATCCGTCTATCCTAACATGTTCAAGGAAGTATTGCAGCTCATTGCTACAACAGTTTAGAGTATTTGAACTGCAGCTACTGAGAAACTTCCTAGTCATTTCACTCAGTTAGGCCCCTTCCTGCTGTCTGGCCGGACCCTGCGCCTGATGTATTTGCCCACAAAGCATAGTGGCAGCAGACAAGGAAAATAAAGGAGGTTGTCATGACAAAATAACACTGTGGGGTGAGTCCCGCCTCTTTAAACTTGAGACCCGAAACCCACATGTGTTCTAAATCTGGCAGGAAGGCAGAGCTGCAGCTCGGAGACACAAGACTGGAGCAATGAGAGGAGAAAAAAGGAAAGCGTCAGAGAGGAGGGTCACTGAGCGTCCAGGAAACAACTCCCAAACTCAGGGGCTCGGTCTGGAGGAGACGGGGAGTGGTTTGTAGCTGGAAAAGCTGACAGGCGAACAAGTCAGAGGGGAGGGGAATATAAGGAGAGAGGTGGCTGCCTTGACTTTGAGTTGGTCAGTGAAGGCCTCATGCAGCTTCTCAGCAGTGTCTCTGTTCCATTTTTATCCGCCTGACGCTGGTCGGTTTTCAGTTAATCTCACCGTGAGCCCAGAGGGAAGGGAAATAAAGGAGTACATCACAGAAGGGGGGGGACGCAAAGGAAAGGAAACATGGTAAGTTTGTTTCACTGCCTTGTTGTGAATACTCATTCCATGTGATTGCTGGTGGGCGGGGAGGTGGGACTCCAGCTTATGGCAGAGTTCCTCTGCTTCTGTTTTACTCTGCTCCTGAAACTTAATCACCACTTTACAAACAAAATGTCCCTGAGAGCAGAAGAGTTACACTCACCCATTCATAGATGAATCAGCATGAGGAGTGATATCCAGGAAGTTTGACTCCAAATCTAACTTTTTTTCACCAAAGAGCGGGTGGGCTGCTTGCCACATTTCCCCACAACATTTGGTTTTCATTTACTCTGTCTCCCTGGGGAAAAGGCTGCTATAAATAAACAACAGAAGCGGACTGTGGACCGACGGTAGTCAACTGTCTGGATTTACTCTGGAGGGACAGACACGCGACCCAACGCCAACTGAGGTGGGTCGTGTGGGTGATACCCATCAGGGCTGGACGTTTTCTGGTTGTTAAAGTGTACATGTTGCTGAATTTGAGAAGATATTGTCTCCATTTCCATTACAAATGTATGTAAAACTTTTATACTCCACCAATGTTGAACAAACACAAATTCTCAGTTGTGTTTCCATTAAATAAGAAATTCAGTCAAAATCACACTTGAATTCAATTTCATTATGAAAATTCTGTATTTTTATGTTCAGTTTGCACACTTATGTGGTCAATTTAAACATAATTAGCGCATAATGCTGAAACTGTCGTCACACACACACCAATCAACTTGTCCAGCACCTTCTACTCTTCCCCAGTGACAATCTAAACTGGAAAACTGGTCACCAAAATCAAAAGCCCGATCCAACATCTTTCACTATACCATTGATCATCCAAACCAAATTATAACCCCAACACCTTTACGTCTCTTCCAGTTAGTTTAAGAGTGTATGCGTGTTCACGTCAAGTTTTCTAATCATAGTCTCAAACAGGAACGTTGGTCACCAAAATCGCAAAACTTGTCCAAATCTTTAATGTCTTGCCAATCATTGTCCACAGTATGGACAATTGATTACCAATGCCAAATGTAATGTAAACATCGCAATTGCTCTACCAATAAATGTCCAAGACAGACTATTGATCATCAAAGCTACACTGTTCAACACTTTTTTACAGCTACCATTTATAGTGGAAGGCAGAGTGAACTATAATGTTCTGGTGTGAAAAAAACGTTTTCATTTTGTTACAGTAAAAAAAAAAAAACAAGAAACAAAAAAAAAACCTAATTCAAGGGGAAACAATTTTTAGTGAAAAGTATTGTTTTGTTTCTTTTTATATTGGCATGTTTCAATTAAGCAAATTTATTTTTAGGATTCCTAATTGCACAATTTTATGGGAAGTAAAAACACAGCTATTGATGTGCAGATGGAATTCCTTCAAGTAAAACCAGAATATTTTGATGGGGAAAAAATGGAAGTATCTGATTGGATCTTTTACGCTTATTGAAACACAGAGTTTGTGCTCTTCATTGAGGACAGTTTTCTAGATGAAGTATGCAAATCACAAACTTTAAATGAGACAGCCGCTCCTGCTCTGTCTATGCATAACTTTTGTTCTGGGTCAAGCAAGATCTTAAATATTTTAGGTACCTTTAATTCTTTATATCAGTAGAACACGACAGGGCCTGTGACTTTTAAATGCCTCAATTAATTGTCGCCATTGACGCTCCAAGAGAAATGAGTTCTGCACTTAAGGTTAAAGAAATTGTATTTTTACTTTAAAACGGCTCATGCTCCAGACACCAAAAAAGGATTAACTTATTGCCACAGAACGGCTGTGTGTTTTTTGAAGTGCTTGGACTGTTTAGTGGAAGCAGTTGAAACCCACGAGAATGTGCAAAAATTTGCAAACATGACTGGAGTGTAATAGATCCCCTTTAAAGATTGTGCAATGATTGTGTGTGGTGTTGGTAAATGGACAGAAGTGTGAATCTCCAGCCAGCTCTGTTTTCTGTCTCATCTCTGCTGCAAGGAAGAAGTCCAGAGCTCCTCTGAGACTCGGACATGTTAAACATCCCACCTGTTTCTGGTCCCACAGCAGCTGCAGATCCACACAGAGTTATATTAGGAACAGAGTCACAGCTATAAACATCCCACCCCAACACACACCCTGACTGACCGTCTCCATCTGCAGACAGCTTCAGGTTTTCACCTCTGTCTGCAGTGATATGTTTACATTCTGCAGCTCTGAAATCGTGGACTGGGATCAGTCTATATACTGAACATCTTTCTCTTTGTATAGACTTCTCATGGGAAAACACTGCATCCACTCTCTTTCAGAAGATGCGAACATTAAACACTTACATAAACTGCAGTAATTTAACATAAAGACAATGGTGTATAAACAACTTAAATATCATGTCCGAATAGACTTAATGTGGCTGCTGTTCCCTATCTGTTTCCCTTACAGTCTTTGTGATGAAGCTCCACAAGCTCCAACACAGGAAGAAAACACCTGTTTATCTTAATTAGAGGTTTGCTGGAGAAAGATACAATGTTGCACCCCTCTTCATTTTCACAGTTTTTTCACTCATTACTGTCATGGCAAAATTTTTAAACATACCACCTTCAGCAGCAATAACTTGGAGGTTTTCTGGGAAACTTCATTACCCTCTCAAGTGATTGTGGAGAAGTTTTGACCCTCTCTTCTTCCCATCAATCCTTCAGTTGATTGAGGTTTGCCAAGCTTTCTTTGTGCATCACCTTCTTAAAGGGCATATATTATTCAGAAATTAATCAAAGATATTCTTGGATCATTGACGAGAAATATTTTGGTCTGTCAATGAATCTGATAAGTGGCACCTTGCTGTAATCTAACTGGTTTAGATGCTTTTTCCTCTCCAGGTTTAAAACTGATGTAAAACAGCTGACTTCTTTTCTACTTGAAGTAGAAGTTTGTCATTTGTGAGTAAATTCATGTTAGTGCATTAGAATGCATGTTTGTTTGTGTGTGTTTACATAAGATTTGTATCTTGGTAAACTAAGGCACAACAGGCAAATGGGACCTATATGCGACTTTAAATGGCAGTCTAAATGGCCCAATTTTCACTTTTTCTCCCCCAAAAATTATATTTGTCCAACTTTCATATGTGCTTCTAAATCAGATACATATTAAATATTTTCAAAGTGTCTCAGTTTATACAGATTTGCAGACCTTTATTTTTCCAAGTGTGGGTATTACTTATATACTGAAATCAGGCATGTTCAGGAGACTTTTATAACAGGAGATAAGGTTTCTTTTGACAGTCTGTTATCAGCCAGACTGATTGTCTTTGCAATATGAGTAGAACAATGAAACCCAGCAGACTAAAAACATCTTAGTATTTGTAGAAATTTATCTAAGAATCAAATGTAATTTTAAACTCTGTTTTCCATGTTTTGTGGTGTTGTTTTACTCATTGTTAAAAATTCAGCATAATAATGCTACATTATTCTTTCAGAATGTCAATCGGTGGTTAAAATATTCACTTGTTCTGCTTCTAGTTTTTTCACTACACACATTAATAAGCAGGGGATTGGGATAGCCAGCTGCTTCTGCATATTAGGGAATTATTGAACTTAGTTTTCAACAATGGAAAGTTTTGCATCAGCATGTTAATGCTGTTTGAGCATATGAAATGTAACTTTTCATGCTAGGATAATGGTATGTACATGTGTTTATTAGCTTGTTAAATATGACTTTGCCTGTTGTGTTTTAGCATGTAAAACATAATATATCAACATGATGAAAATGTCTTTTTTTTAATTATTATTATTATTTACTTTTTTACTTAAAACATATGGCCACTATTTTTACTGTATCAAATGCAAATGTGTTGTATCATTTATTGTTTGAATGGTTAATTTGCAGCTCATTTGCACCATAAGATATGTTATTCAGAAGTGTAATTTGCATTTGTTTAACACGACAAGTGGTGAAGTAGGCTGTGATCAAACAGAGACAAGTCTAATTGGATTCCAGTCAAAATGTTTCTGCTTAAAAATACCTCCTACCATAAATAAATAAGCAAAGAGAGGAATTAATTAACAACAAAAGTTGTTTTTCTCTTCTTAGTACTGAACACTAGCAGTTTGGGTAATGAGTGTTTCTATATTCATTACAGCAGTGCTGTCCAGTTTGTTCACTGATTGCTCTCAGTATGAGTCCCTGCAATCACAAATTTGAAATGTAACATATTATCACATTTCAGCAAAGACAAACTAAAAGCCGAGGTTCTTACTTTCTTTTTACTCACAATGTAAAAATGTTGCTGAGTTTAATGACTGTAATCAACTCCTTGGGAGAACAAAGCGAGGTAATACAAGTTGTGATCTGGTTAGAGGTCTGATTGGCAGATAAATGTTTGTTTGATGCAAATTGGCTCGTTCTGCTAATTGCTGGTGTTTCTCACAGTGTGACTGTGCATTCTGTGTTCAGCAGTTTTAGCAACTCCAAATTGTTGCTCAGGATTTCTGTGTGGTTCATCTCATTACTTCCTGGCAGGTCTGTCATGTTTTTTTGGAAACCACTGGTTATTCTCAGATTAAAGTTTCACCTATTATTTCCAGTGATTGGAACCAAATAGCCCATTTCACCCTGAACATTTCACCTGCAAAATTGACTGAATGCTTCTGGAGTCAGAACCCAGTTTGAGAGACTTCCTACAATGTCTCCTTCTCCCTTCCTACATATATGGAAAAGAAGTGCATTGATTTTTTTTTTATTTTCATTTGTTTTCTTCAAAATCCTGAAGAACACATAGTCAAGAAAGATAAATTATACTTAAGATACTTTAAAATCAGCCTCAAGTGAAATAGTAGGATTTCATAAATTCATTGCTGTCAGATGTCTGAGAAAATGACCATTAGCTTGAAAAAACTAAGATGTTATTTCTGAAAACAAAGTCAAAGCAGAAGAGAAGGCACCAATAATGGTCAAAAACCAAGATGTACATAGCAAAGAGATATTTTCTTCCCCTTCCCATGGAGAAATCGTACGTTATCAGCTTCATTATTTTCAAATTTGGTTAACATGCCATCGAAGAGTTAGAAAAAAGTGTTCAAGATAAATCTTCAGACTACACTATTGAGTTTTGATTGCTGGTTGTTATATCCAGAATTCACTTCCTGACTTGAGTTTGAGGTAGGTTGCCAATTGATGCTAATAAGTCACTGGTTTGGTCACCAATGTTTTAGTTTTGGACTAATTAGAGGAAAAGTGAAGGTATTAGATAAACCATTTGACTTTGATCAATGTAACTGTTGTGCTGTATCAGGAAACAAACACAAAATAAAGAAGTTGGGTAGACTGGTTGGTGGAAGTAGCTTGGTTTTGGTAGATGGACAGTTTGCTTTTGATTATCAGTGGTCTGTCTTACACTTTTATTGGTTGAGAATTTAAGATATTGATATTTCATTTGGCATTGATAACTAATT